CAGAAAGCTGTCTGGCTGTGCATACTACAAATCCGTCGTTTGAAAAGCCGAAGTTGAAGAGCGGGCCGATGCGGTATCTCAAGTACCGAGTTGCGAAGCTGACGCGGGCAAAGGTGCCGTTGTTGAGCTTTGGATATATGCCGAATGAAGTGCAGACACCGTCGAAAGGTCTGAGTGGAAAGGATCCGGCAACACTGGATGCAGTATATGGCGGTGAGCCGCTGGGACCCACGCTGCATCGTCTCTACTCGCTTCGGCCGCAGACATTGGCCTTCTCTTTATGCGACTCACCTGTGGGATTGCTTGCAGCTCTGCTCGACGTCATACATACTAGAGATGTGCTGCCGCGTCCGCTCTCGTCGCGGCCCAGGAGTCCCTTTCTTTCACCGGTTGAGCTGGAGATGCAGCGTGGCGAGGAAGAGCAAGAGGAAGAGGAGGATGTACCTTCGAGATCTACGGGACAACCTGGAGGTGCGACGAGCCCAGATAGAGTCGACGGCGATAGGAGGAGTTATACGTGGAGTCCGACGGAGGTGCTAAACTTTACAATGTTGCAATGGTTACCAGGGCCTGAAGCGGTACGTTACCTTTTTTCATATATCTGACGCGCTTGTTATGGGGAGGTTGGGAGGTACTCGCCGCTGTTATGACGTCTCTTTGCCACCTGAAGATCTGCTGAGGCCCATCTTGGTCTACCCTTGAGCTCTTCGTGTGAAGTTCCTCACCGCTGACGTCTGACGACAAACAGGCCCTCCGCTGGCTCCGCCGCGCACACATCGACATGCAATCCCCCTCTTACCAACCCTTCACGTCCACACCCCTTGGCATCTCCACGTTCCTGCATCCTAACAGCAGCACCGCAACACCGCTGACGTGGGGTGCACGTTCCTGGGACATATCCTGGGTGAAGCGCCATGCCGGCCGCCCTGCAATGTTGCCAGGCTTCGAGGCACCAGATGCGCTAGTATTGGATCTGAGAGAATGTTTCGGGATGATGATCGATAGAGGGAAGCTGAAGTTGAAGATGCCTGAAAGGGAAGGTTAGGTGGTAATAAGTGTTGATTCAGGCTATAGATATATCAGGTTTGTTGTATGTGATTAAGCTGGAACAAAGACGGACGGGTGCGCCTGGTGTTTCGGCCCGTAGTAACAAGTACTGGGAGTATGCTTGCTTGTTGCAGGGGCTGTGCAGGTGCAATATGGCCTGGTGCCCTTATGGCGAGGTGTTATACATGTATACGCAGTTTGTGCGGTTATTATTTCGGGCAATACAATCAACGTGGCTATATTGGATGATGTGAGTTTTCGCTCAGCTTGTGGAATGTGGTTGTGCGCAGGGATGTAGGGCAGCTGCGTTAGAATTGGGATACTTTGACGAAGGAGATTGCGAAGGAGCATAGGCTATATGCCCATCGGGTTCTGATGGATGGCGTAAGGCTGTGCTGGTGAGATCAGGTACCATTGGTACGTACGTGTAAAGCCGTGATCATGTGCTGCTAATCCCGGCTGGGCGTAGTGTGTAATGGCAGAGGCAGCATGTTCCCTGATGTACATAGCAGCAGCCGATCATGGCAGCAGTGGCAGTCGGACCTATTCGCGTCTTGTGTCAGGCACATGGCGGGTGGCCGAGTCGGGTGAAATGGCAGACGGCGGGGCGCTCCAGCCAACTGGGACGGGCGGTGACGTCCTGATGCGAAAACACCGCACTCGTGAAAAATCGCTGTCGCGTGAAGGCCCGAAGCTTCTACGACGTCGCCCCAGCACCACACACGTCAAATTCGCCTAGTGAAGTTTGTATCCACTGCGCACAGTACGTCGCTCTCCTGACACTCTCCACACTTCCATCTCTCTCGCGCCTGCCGTGTGGGAATATAACCTCGTCACGTCCGCCCGCTCATTCACGCAGATTCTATCAGCGCCCAACGCCATTGCATTGACTCTCTGCTCAACGCTCCCCACCAAATCTACATCGTCACGCTGGCAGACCTACTCTCCTCCCTCTCCACCACTGCCTAGGCTTCAGTAGCCCGCAGACCGTCTATCGCCGCCCACCTCGGCTCTTCTATGCGTCGCGAGGACCTGGTACGCTTTCTGTCCAAGCCTGCGAAGTGAGTCGTTGTCTCCGCGAGAAGCAGTGTGCAAGACATCCCAACGGCCAGCGCTGACCTTTCACAGGCCTCGATAACACCCGCCACGCCCCTCCCTTCACCACCCACCATCGTACCCATTTAAAGCAGATCTCCTCGTCTGCTGGACCCGATACTTCCCCAGGGTATCGGAATCTGGTATCGCGAGGACCCCAACCACTGCCACCATTTCCCGGCGAAAGGCCTCGTTTATTCCCCTCAACGCCCGACCTCCCTAACATCGACTACGGTCGGTTACCCTCTCCTCCATAAACTGCTGCTGGCACACGCCAGCCTCGCCTACTCTTTGCGACCCGTGGGCCAATTCTTCTCAGGCGAGCACCGCATTGCTTGTCTGAGCGAGGTTGTGCTGCACATAGCTTCCTAGCTAGCCACCTCTCCAAGCTTCCGTACACACACGGTCACCAAACACACCTATCATACCTGTTCGTGCGCGCGACAGCCACACAGTCAAGAGATGGTCGCTACTGAGATTCCTCAGCACTACACTGCCTCGCCTTCGTCGCACATTGGCACCCCTCATTTGACCATCAACAAGGAGGCTACCATCGATCTCGACTCTACGAACTCGTTCGAGGGTCCTGAGAAGCTCTTGGAAGTATGGTTTAGCGCTTCCGCTACCGAGCTGCCTGGACAGGCCGGTCCAACCGGACTGAAGACGGTCTCGGCAGAGGTCTGGAAGGACATGCTCGATCTTGTCAATTGCAAGGTTCTCTCCGTCATCGAGTCTGAACATGTCGACGCTTACCTCTTGTCCGAGTCGAGCATGTTCGTCTTTCCCCACAAGGTCGTGCTCAAGACCTGCGGCACCACAACCCTCCTTTGGGGCCTCACCCGCATGCTAGAGATCGCTGCAGGGGTCGGCTTCCCCTACGTTGCCCCCAAGGCATCTGGCGTCGCGCCAGCCGCAACACCATACCGCGTGTTCTACAGCAGGAAGAACTACCTCTACCCTGATCAGCAGCGTGGACCCCACCGCAGCTGGCGTGATGAGGTTCGCTACCTTGACGACCGCTTCCAGGGTGGCAGTGCCTATATGATTGGCAAGATGAACGGCGAACATTGGTACCTCTACATCACCGGTCCAGACACCAGCCTCACTCCACCTCCCAGCCCTGGTGAGGAGAAGCTTGCGCCTGACACCGAGACCAAGTTCGTGAGCCACCCTCAACGCATGTTGCGTGAGCAGGCCACCGACGAAGAAGAGGACGAGACTCTGGAGATCCTGATGACCGACCTCGATGAGAAGAACGCCCGTCAGTTCTATCTAGAGGACGCAAGTGCGGTTGCGGAAGGTCGCTACATCCAGAGGGCCCGTGAGGCTCGCAAGAACGCCATCCAGTCCCTAGGTACCATTGCGGAAGAGAATGGCCACAGCGAGAGCCTCGGTGGCTCCACTGTCCTCAACTCCGCTGCCAATACCCACACCTCCGATGACAGCTTCGACGTGTTTGAGCAGACTTCTTCCGACCACTCTGGTTTCAACTCTGACGAGGAGCTTACTTTCCCCGAGGAGTTGACCACTGAGGGCCACACGCTCGGCACGGTCGTTTCTGAGCACTGTGGTCTGGCCGATGTTTACCCTACCTCCAAGTACCCCGACGCCCGCATCGACGCCTACTTGTTCACGCCCTGTGGCTTCTCTGCCAACGGTGTTATTCCCGCTCCAGGTGGTGCTCCCAACGGCTCCAAGAAGGGCTCTGATGCCACGCACTACTTCACCGTGCACGTCACGCCTGAGCCCCAGTGCTCCTACGCCTCGTTCGAGACCAACGTACCTGCCCGCCAGACTGGTAGAGAGACGGCCGACGTCGTCGAGCATGTCGTCGGCATCTTCAAGCCCGGCAGGTTCAGCGTCACTCTTTTCGAGGCTAAGCCTACTGCTGATGAGATGCCCGCCAAGAACATTGAGAAGGCGAAGAGGATGGAGACAATTGCGGGATACCGTCGCGTCGACCGCATTGTACATGACTTGGACGGCTACGATCTTGTCTTCCGATACTACGAGCGCGATGACTGGAAGGGTGGAAAGCCTCGACTTGGCGAGATCTTCTGAATGGGTCTGCGACGAAGTGGCCGTACACAGTAGTATGTTGCTTTGATTTTTTTGCGAGTATACTCATTTGGTATTTTGTACAGCGTTGCTGCACAGTCACTACAATGTCTAGCTAGCTAGCGGTTCGTTTGGTGTTTATTCAGGTCATAATCAAAGTTCAACTTCAAATCGTATACTTCGTATCCTAGACTCTGCCCGCGCTTATCATTTTATGTGCTTATCTTTCCGTTCAAACAAGGTGACTTTGTTGTGTCCGAGGCTGCGTGTCATCCACCTCCACTCAACATCAGTTCTTCTCCCACTGTCACTGCGGCATTAGCGTCTGTGTTTGTTTGCCTGTTCATTTCCGCCCGTTGCAAACGCTGCTCTCGCACGGCGTCAGCCACTCGCTGTCTGTCCCTCAGACACCACTAGCTAGCTCTTGTTGCTCACAACATACCGCCCTTTGCCTTCACCTATGCCTTCTCATCTCTTTTTTGTAAAGGCGGGGTAGGCGACGCACCTACCACATTAGGGGTGAGAGACAGGTGCCTAATTGTTTGACCGCTGGTACAGATAGGACATGGTACTATTTAGGTGTCTCTTCTCTAGTTTAAATTTTGACTTCTTACACTACACTATACTAGCACTTCCACAGTAACATCAAGTATCTGCTGAACACCCTCCTCTACCGGCTCCTACCAGTCATAGCCGTCGTCACTAAGATGTCCTCACGCTCTGCACGTCCTGCTCGCTCAGGGAAACTGTTATCTAACGGTGCCATGCGCTACTCACCGTTTGAGGATAACAGCGGTCAAATGCACGAACCCGTTGATGACAGCCAAGAGTACCTGCCAGATATTGCGCCTTCGGACAACAAGGAAGATAAAGGACCAATCCCGTCCCTTCTGTCCTCAAAGCCAAGAGTGATGGCACCTAGCGTGTCGATCCCGCGCCGTCGGGTAAGCAATCAAGAGGATATAGTCTAACGCATGGAAATACTAACTGTTTATAATTAGGGCCAAAGCGTAGAAGTTTGAATACCTGCGAGCATGCCAAAGAATCCATGAGGCGTAGCTCAATCACTATCCTCTTCAAAAGCTCAAGGAAAGCAGCGTGTTCCTGAACAACCAAAGCCGAAATCCAACCGCACAGAATCCGCCTCCAATCCGCTTGTACCTACACAGGAAGAGGTTCCAGACGAAGCAGAATCTGCGACTCATAACACGTACGACGTAGGTACTAAACTTGAACTCTTACAACTAAGCTAACAAGGCACTAGATCCGATATACGATTAATCCTCATGAGACCGGCCGTGGTACAGACTACCACATTAGTTTCTCGGCTAGAGGATTACCCACAGAGACGCGAAAAGTACCTTTCGAACAAATAACGAAGCACATGCGCCTTTGGAACAGGTGGGTTAAGGCAGACAGTGCTGATCGGCAGAAGGAGTATAAGAATAAGTTCGGTCGTTACCTAAAGGCCAAGCTGAAGTGATTCATGGTCTTTCTTCGCCATCTCTGACCTCTAGTAAGTCTTCTCTTCTTCAAATTCCTTACTTTTCTCTTTACTCCTAAACATAGCTAATTTCTCTAGAGCAGACATGCAAAACTCCTCTTCGGACTACGTAGTCCCGCACGTTTGGTCTTTGAGCTTCTGTTTCATTCCTTTCTTCAACATCATTCTAAGCGTGGTTTTAGACTCTAGCCATATATGCATATGCATATAGGCGCGTCTCTTCGAGCTCAGGGCTAAATAACTACCTTGGCTAGTCTAGCATTTGCGATTTGCGTGTTCTTTTCTTGTGCTAAGTTTGCTGTTTTCAACTGCGTATACCCTGCCCACCCATTTCACATCTACCTCTTCTAGTGAGCACACTAGCTCTTGCATTTATATTTTCTGCTAGTAGCACATCTTCTACAGAAAGTAACTAGCTATGTACAAATAATTAAAAGTGCCTACCTTTACCTTTAATACCTCCGCCGCCTAAGCGTGCTACTCTCTAGAGAGCGTACGTGCATATACTTTCCCCTACATATAATACAAGATGCAGCGCAAAGCAAGATCTTAAGGGCTCTGTCTATACACAGACAGGGCTTTGTTAAGAAGTGTAGAGCAGGCGGGGCGAGGACGGTAGGCGATGCTACGTAGTGAAGCACCCTGAAGCACCGTGAAGTACTGTCAAGCACCGTAACGCACCGTAACGCACCGTGAATGAGGAGATTATCACCCCGATTCACGCCAAATGTGCGCCAAATCCGCGCCAATTCGGCCTGGATCCAGCTTTAGAGAATAGACAGGGTGTTAACAGGTTGCAGTGAATGAGCAAGTTGCAGTGGACGTGCAACCTGCAGGCAACCTGCGCCAACAACTTGTTACCCTACTTCACCTAGACATTGCGACACTGGCAACTCCTTAGCTACAGAATACTTGAGTGGAGTGAGGATAAGCACTAAGAAATTGACTCGTTCTGATTCGACTGCGACGGAAGATTATCCCATGCGACACTGAATCAAGTTCATACATATCTATCATACACTGCCCTTGCCATCTCCACCGTCCATCCGCTCAAGTGCCTCCCTGACCTTTGCTACAGCTTCCCTCGCTGCCCTCCTTTCAGCTACACTTTCATCCTCAACGTACTCTCTGCCTCCATTCTTGATGATGAATCTGACTCTCTCCTCTGTGCCCTTCAACGTGCGTCTACCTTCTTCCCTCAGTGTACCCTCCCATGATTCTCTGGCGCCTTCCCATAGTTTCTGCATGCGGCGAAGAGAAAATGTAAGACCGAGTGCCGCAACGGCTGAAGCCTCGAAGACGGAGAAGGTGGACATGGAGACGTAGAGCAGTGCTGAGGCAGCGGACGAGAGGGATGTTGTGCTGAAGGTCTGTAGGAGAAGTCGTTGAGCGAGTGCCTGCAGAGGTGGCACAGTGTCATTGATGAGTTCTGTGCGAGCAGCCGCGATGTGTTCTGGCCATGGTATTGGTTTCCGAACGTTGGCGGATAGATCTGTTCGCGGGTTCTCTGCTGTCGGCGCTGTTTCCTGCGTTGTCACTTCCGGGATATCGGCAACAGCGAGGTGTTGGACGTCATCTGGGAAACCAGCTTGGTTCATGCGACCGGCGAGGTAGATGCTGTTCTTCTCCGCTGAGACAAGCCATCGCCGCTCGAGGATCTCCGAGCTTATCATCGTGACGTCGTCGACACGCCAGAGGAGCTTCCACCAAGCCAACTTATGCCAGTTTCGAGTCGTGAAGGCTTCATCAAGCTCGTCACGGAGCTCCGCATGAGACTTCTCGGCCCAGGTCTCGAGATGACCGACGATGGAAGTTGTGACGTCTGATTGTGTCTGGACTGGAGCAAGCTGTTGCAATCGAGCAGCGTCTTGTTTGGTGATGCTCGCTTCTACGTCATCGGCTATAGAAGCTACAAGCGTCTTCATCGGGGGCTTGATAGCGTCTGTGGCCTGAAGGTCTTGGACTAACCACTCCGACAGCGTTGGCAAACCACTTTTGAACCACCCTCGCTCATAGATGATGGAATTCTGGATCGACTCACGAAAGCTGTCGAGCGCTTTCGTGCCAACTTGGAGGTTGATGGGAGCGCTTGCGGCGTGGGTATCTGATTTGACTTCGTCCGACGGGGCGGGGAGGTCGACGGCCATCTTCACCATATCATCCATCTCGTTCAGACCATCCGCCGAGAATCTGCCAAATGCTATGGCGCTGTCCAGTCCTTCTCCTAATACTAAAGTCTTGTGTACTGGATATGGGACGGGCAATCCTCGTGCGGAAGTGGCCTGGAGCTTGGGAACCAGCAACGATTCGATGGAGCTTTCTGTGACCATATGAGGTAGGGATTTTGCGACGTTGACATTCATGGTAGAGACGAGGACCTCTAGGTTGTGCGATTGAAGGGTTCGTGAGGGTATGGAGAGGACCTTGTAGAGGGGCGAAGGCGCATGTGCATCGGCATCGTCGCCGTATCTGTACAATAATCATGTCAGCTGGTGCGCTATCCAGTATGGCAGATCAAGCACATACTTTAGCAATACCGCTCTTTCGTTGCTGTCGCCTGATTTCACGAGTTCCCTCTCCCACTGCTCCTCAGCACTGAGTGGATCTGCCAGTAGTAGCCGTGCAAGCTGCTGCGCACTCAATTGGCTGTTCAAACCGAGAACTGTCCATCGTCAGCCCCTAGTCCTCAGATTCACCTGCGCGTTCCGTACCAGCGACTCTTGTTACAGCATCCTGCGCCGCCAGACCCCGCAATGCCAATTGCAATCTGCTTATGTTGACATAGGTCTCGGCAGCTCCACTAAGCGCTGACAGTGCATCGTACAACTCCTTGTTCCGAGGTGGGATGTGCGGGCGCAGATTTATCGCGGTCGGGGAGACATGCGTCGATGCGGAGCGCACGCGGAGGCTGGTGGTCGGGCGTGAAGTAAGGACATTGCGACAGCGACGCGCAAGCGGGAGTCGATCAGTCGGTCCTGTCTTGCGAAAGATCGTCAGTCGCGGCACTGAGGCCACCCATGGAGGCATCGGGCTTGAAGTTGAGCATTGCTGTTGAAATGTCCATGTTGACGTAGGTCGGCAAAGCTAGCTTCGGCCCGGGCCCGTGCGCAATCTCATACGCCTTCACACGGAGCAAGTGGCTGTACACTGGTGTCATAGGAATTTGATTTTATGTGATTCAATGAGAGGTCGACGCCCTTAAACTTGAGCAGTCGACCGACAAATTACTACCGTACTTCGTAAGGTGAATGCCCTCTAGGTTACGCTGGCCCGAATACGCCTACGTGGTATACTGATGACATTTGGTGGCCCGCCAATACAGAAATCAAGAACCTAAACATCCTGCTGCAATGTCATAGCTCGTCTATCGGCTTCGCTCTCGGATCGCGAGCGCTTGAATCGCGCCTAGCTTCTCCGGCTGCGTCCAGAGCCAGATGACCTATACTAATTAGTTACTGCACGACGAGTTATGTAGGATCGATGCTTACATGCTGATGCGTCTTGCGACAGTTGCGAGGCCTTGGTCATTGTCGGCTTCTTTGGTGGCCTTCTCGAGAGCCTGCTCTCGGCTAACCTCCTGAGACTTTCGCACCTCCTCGTGGCTCGGCGGGAGCCTCTCATTCTGCAAATCGACCTTGCGAGCGTCCTCGAAGCTGTGGATCGCCTGCTTAATTCCCTCCGCACCGAGCATGAGCGTACCCGCGGGAAGTCGACCACCCGATGCCGTCTTGAGCTCAGTGACACGCTCAGACTCCTCGCGCAGCACTTGGAATACACGAGAGAGGCGGCCAATCGCCAGAATCTTGTTTTTGATCGCACGTCGCTTGAACTCGGTCGAATCTGGGTCGAGACTGGAGAGAGGTGGGGATGATGGGCCGGAAGCCAGAGAGCTGGGCGTCTCCTCTTCGAGCTCCTCCTTCGAACAGGTGTTTAGGATAGCAATGAGCATGTCAGTAACTACGACTTGTTAGTATGATATTCCAATGTGAGTTGGTACTTCTGCTTACTCTTTTCGCCAACAAATGGCAATGACCATGTGAAGACGTCCATGAAGTTAGGCAGCCAGTACGGATGCGGCGTGCAGTTGAACTGCCGGATGTTCATGACGTTGTTCTCATACTTCAGAACCGCAGCCTTGTTATTGTATACATCAAGGTAGTTCGGCGCGCTGAAGATTGTCATGACACTGGGGAAACCAGTCGTCCGTGTTTTCCTGTACATTCGGTATCCAGCATCTTGTGCCTCGTGCGCGCGGATGATTGACAAAAGGTTGTTTTTCTCGAGGAAAGCGCACGCAGCGGGGTACGAAAAGAAGTATGAGCATCCGCGAACGTGGTTGTGGACGAAGAAGTCGTTGGTCTTCTCTTGACCGAATTCCTCGAGGGGATCAGCCCAGAGAATATCGCACATGAGGCCGTGGGTGGGTGGCTCGCGGAAACGATCAATCTGATAAGGTTAGCGACGACGTTAGAAAGGGCATGAATCCACGTACGCTCTTCAAGTCGTCCAGAGTGTGAAGCTCGGGGCTCAATCCACCGTGTATACACAAGAACTGCTTGTTCATAACAGCCGCTAGGGGAAGTGCGCAGAACGAGTCCATGCAGGCCTCGTATACGGCCTCGGAGTACTTGTGCTTGCATTCGAGCTTGAATGTGAAGTAGTCGGTCAAATGGCGGCATTCGTGGTTTCCTCGGAGAAGCCAGAGGGTGTTGGGGTACCAGATCTTGAGCGACCAGAGGTACAAAACACACTGCGAGTGTCAGCCAATGCACAGCGGCTGCTTTCCTGCCGTCTTACCTCTATACTGAAATAGCCGCGATCGACATAGTCTCCCAAGAAGAGGTAGCGCGTCTCTGCTGGGTCGCCACCGACTTCAAACAGCTTCATGAGATCGTAGTATTGGCCGTGAACATCACCGCACACGGTAATGGGTGCGTCCATCTCCAGCATGTTGGGTTCCGATTTGAGGATCTCTGTGC